TCCATGAAGCCGATTAATCCAACAAAGATTGCGTTCTCCAAGATGATTATTATTAGATCCCAATAGTAATCAAAATAAATTAGTAGATCCCAATAACCACGCTTCCACGGCATAGACAATTAAAACACGTGCAAATTGCATAGCCCGCAAAGAACCAAAGTGTATAATTCAAAATTATGCATAATTACCCGCATTCCTTATCACTTGCATTTCAGTTCTTATTGTAAAATCAGATCAATTGTATTCTAGGAAATTGTATTTGTTTTTATATTTGGAAACAAAATATTGGATCTCTTGTTCAACGTCCTACGAGTCATTGTATGGATTATCTTATGATCTCACCACATTAGTGATGGTTAGAACATTTTTCAAAAAAGATATTAAAATAAACAGAATTATAAAATCCCTATTAACGACATCTTTCCGTGGAAAAAATTTTCGTGCAAAAACCAATTAATAAGAAACAAAATTGACTATATAAATTGTCACCTCAAAATTATTCAAAAAGAAATTAACCATTTAATAATACTAATGATGACGGATGAATCAACAAAGGCAGCCTTCTTTAAAAGGGGAACCAAGATTTTGTTCATCATCACACCTTAACTAATCAACTAAGTAAAAAAAAAATTTAGCAAACCGAAAAGCAAAGAATTAGTGCAATAATATCATGGCTTCCAGAACTGCATCGAGTTCGTTGTTCTGGAGAAGTTGGAGAGTTGGAATCATCGTCGTCATCATCCTTGAAGTACTTGCAGGATACAATCATATCAGCTGCGTTGATGCGCTTAATCCCACGTGTAGTGGCCGGAAAGTGAGTGCATCCTACAGCAAGCAAGTGACCGAGCTTGTGCTCCAGCTGGAGCACGACGCGCCCTACTCCAAAACTCGCTCGGCGGCGGGCCGGGTCGGCTCCGTTGCCGGGGAGGCCAGCTGCGGCGAGCGGGCCTGGGACGCCGACGACTGCACAGGTTGTCTTGGGGATGCCGTGGTCGACCTGAGTGTGGATTGCAAGGGGCAAGAATCGGGCAGCTCCACTGGCTTCTTAGGTCGCTGCAAAATGAACTTTCACCGGGCCTAGTTAGCTAGCTATAGCTCGGTGCGTTGACAATTTCTTAATCCCAATAACTTGAGTTATTGAGGAAAAATTTGTTAAATTTCTTATATACCTCTCAAACCAAATTCTGTTTGGTGAGATTTTTCCTTGTTTCGCTAAACCATCAAACATTTAGATGGTCTAAAAATCAACTAGATTGATGAGTTGAGCAATAATAAGGTCAATCGAGTTCATTTTGCACTTTGCCTTGCGCTTGTGTTAATGGGTTACTAATTGAGTTGGTTGTTACTGGCAAATTATATGATTATGTCTATTTTATTTTGATAATCTTTATACCAAGATAAAAAAATCGGTGCAATACATGTAAAAATCTTAACTAACTTTAAAATGAATTCTGTTCCGTGTTTTAGGAAAATGATAATGTAATGCCAAGCTACGGCAAAATTAATTTTGAAGAGGACGCCGTCTGTGGGAATCGAACCCACGACCACGTGGTTAAAAGCCACGCGCTCTACCGGCTGAGCTAAGACGGCTTGATGCTCAATAAACAATCTTCATTTTATTGTCAGTTTGTCAAAAATGGATTGGTTGTCAAATTCCTTACCACGGCCCAGCCAAATCGATTCAGAAGAATACGGGTCGACATTTTCAAATACCCAAACAACGAAATATGTACGAAATGGCTCCAAAAACAAGCCCAAAGGATCCGCTGTGCACATATCAAAAAGCAATTAGAAAAATTATTTCACACAAAATAATTTATAGCTAAGAATTGGTAACTAATACTAAACAATTAGATGCTTACAAATAAAAGTATATAAAATGAATTTTATTAATGTTGATAATGATTTGTGTAAAATTTAGTATTAGATATATAATATATAAGGTTAATATATACAAAAAAGTTGCTTGTAACCTACTGGTGTATAAGAGAGTCTAAAATGAACATGAGGTACTTGGTTCAAATCCTAAGGAGGGTGTTTATTTTTGGATAAAATATGTGTAACATTGAATTTCGGTTTCTGGTCTAACCGGCCGGAATTTCCGGATTTGACTGGGTCTGACCGACATTGACCGAATTTGACCACAATTAAATACCGCCCCCTTTCCAGCCGGTTTGGTGACCGGTACCGGTTGTACCCGGTTGAACCGGCCGGCATGAGACCGGTTTGACAACCATGATTTTGTCTAATACTAGTCACGGGCCTGGCCACTTGGCCCAGTTTAATTGGCAATAACCTAAATAACAATAGCAATTTGTATTCGAGTTACAAATTAATATAAGAGTTTTTTATATTCACAAAACTTTATTATTAAAATAGTTCAATAATTCAAAATGATGAACATCGTACTGTTTTCTGACATTCTATTGACTAATTGACTAAAATCTTTTTACAAAAATGAAAAGAAAAACTTAATACAAGAGAACCAACTCCCAAATATAAATTAAAATGACCCTTCTAATTACTCCTCTTCATCATAAATTACAACACGTTCTCTTTTTGAATTATTTGCGTTGAACCGGACCTGATATATTTCCCTGTTCTGGATAACATCACAATTAAAGCCGATATATATACAACATAATTATTAGCTAGTCATATTGCCATTTTTCAATTAATGAAGTTGGAATAAGTAATGATGCTCTGGAGGCCCGTATAAATTAAAACCCGTATACCATCAAATAGTCTCTTTCTTCGTCTCAACAACGCTATTACTTCTTTATCTGATTCTGGTGAAGAAATACTTAGTTATTACTTTGTTGTTGTTAATTATTCTCGCAATATGGATTTATTTAGAAGGGAAGCTGAGAGATTGATATTGTGAGTTTTGGGTGGCGGTCTAGATTATTAAAGAATAAACATAAGATTTACCTAATCAATTATCTCAAACCTCTCTTTGTTCTCCTCTCTAGTCCTTAATTCTATTCTTTTTGAAACAATAATTTTGTTCTATATCTCCTTGTATTTTTATTAATTCTCTTCTGACCGCCTAATTCTCTAGTCTCAATTCTTCATCGTCACATAGTCTATTTATTTATCTTATTTGTCTAATTCTCCTCTAATTCTATATTTATGTTAAATCAATATAGGATACCAAGATCATCTCTTTCATCAATTGATTTCATAGCCTAGTTACCCTAGCACCCAACACCATCATTTACGTCATTACAACCCCCATTGATTGTCTTACATGAACTTGTGGAGATTTATTTGGAAGGTTTGACGAATATTTCTGTGTCTAAGAAGCAGCAAGTGTGATCAAGAAGGATGATGCAACTACTTTGTGGTTGTTGGCAGCATCAATTGGAAAATTTCCATTCGGATTGTGCATTGAGAGCCTTTCTTTTGTAGTAGTGCATTCATTGCGGGAGATGGAGTGAATTGGAAGCGAAAGAGTGGTTGGATCTTGAATTGAAAGTACATGAAGAAGTTTATACAAATTCGGGTCAATTCTCGAGGAAAATGATCTTTCATAGGGGATGTATTGATGAAGGATTTGTTATTATTATTGAGGGTAAGAATGTTTATAGACATATTTTAAATCGTTTTAGCCTCCAAGCACTCTTGCCCCCAATCCCTCATTATGTATTACATATCCATGAATTTCTATAACTTATTAAATTTTATTCAAATCCTTCTCAATTCTCTTAACCTCTATCTAGTCTTGGTTCTTCTTTGTCCTGTAGTGTATTCTCTCTCTTAATTTTGACCAATTTTCCTTTAATACTATCTTTCTATCAAACCAGATCGAGTGCCAAAATCCTCTCTCTTATTATATCAACTACCTCTACCATTAGCATACTCTTTCTTCTTCTCTTACACTTAATTGAAAACAAAAATTTAATGGTGGCATCTTTGCAAATAAGAAATATAGTTTTTAGCTCATGTAAAATTTACCCTTCCTCATCTTTAAAATTGTGTTCTCACTTATAGAGTTCGCAATATTGTATTCGGTGAGTTTGATGTCGAATTAACTCCATTGTCTCAATTTGTAGGAGATAAAGAGGTGGAGGTCCTCTCATTCTATCATTGGTTTGGAATAGTTTCCCAACAGACATTCCAAAAACTAGATGATTTGTGATCCAGAACAACAAAGTTAGATTAAACGTTTTTGTCCACAATACGTAGTAGATCATGAATATGTAAAAATGAAAACAAATGAGATTAACTATCTATTAACATAATTTATGATTCCGTAGGTATGAAGTTTTTCCCCGAATAAATGAATATGAAGTTGAAAATAATGAAAAATAGAGATATAGGCTTAGAAATGCCCCACAACCTCAACTCCTCGTCCTTGTTCCCTAGATTGGCATGGATTCATTCATGGATATAATGGGTACTCTTAATATCCAAACGGGTATTAACGGGTAACCCGCAGTGCAGGTACCCAAAGTAGCGATTCTTAATCCCAAATCTCATTCCGTAAAAAAAATATATGGATATTTGAATACCCGTAACCTCAAAAAACGAAATAGATATGGATATCTTCAACTCCAAATACCCATTTCTCCTTGCCCGCCCCTAATTATTAGTGAAAGTGGTGGTTGTGAATTCTTGTGAATTGGGATATAAATGCGAGGGCTTTTTATAGCTCTATTCGGGTAGCTTCGACTTGATACTTGATAGTGACCCCAATCTTGGATACACAACGGCGCATGAGTTTGGGCTCGGTAGTGGGCTTACTGGCTGTGGGCCTGCATGGTTAGGTGGGAGATCAGATGACCCTTTACTTCAGTAATCAATTATTATCATCTGTTTGATAAAAAAAATTACTATCATCTGTTTCTATCAAAAAAATAATACCAAGTCAAAGTGACACCGACAGTATCTTTTTTATAATAATTGCACGATTGTATATTTTTGGAATTGCTAATGCATGTTGCCATCAAACTCCGATCTCCGCTCTGGAATTTGTCCGAACCGAAGATTAAAAAAATGTGTTCACATGCTTGCAAAACGTGAATATTTGTAGGATGAAAATCGTAATTTGTCCACAAGTACCTAATAGAATTGGTATATTTTTATCAACCAACCTGCTTAATCACTCCCCTCCCAGATTTGCAGCAGCAACTTAGCAGCAGAGAGCTCAAGAAGCAGAAGAAGAAAAAGTAGACAATGGCGAACCACGGTCAACCCTCGGAACCAACGCCTAAGCCACACTGCTTGGCGGTTCCGTTTCCAACCCAAGGCCACATCAACCCGATCCTCGAATTCTCCAAGCGCCTAATCCCCAAAGGAATCCGGGTCACTCTCCTCCTCACCCCTTTCATCTCCAAATCCATCTCCGCCCGAGACCGGACCCGAATCTCCGCCCTCGAGATCGGCCTCGAAACGATCTCCGACGGCCACGACGAAGAAGGCTGCCCGACCGGGGTCGGGGCCCAGAGGTTCGACGCCTACGTTTGCACGTTCCGTGAAGTGGGTTCCAAATCTCTGGCTCGACTCGTTCAGAGGATGACCGATTCAGGGGACTCCGTACACTGCATTATCTACGATTCCATCATCCCCTGGTGCCTCGACGTGGCGAAGGAATTCGGGATCCTGGCTGCCGACTTCTTCACGCAGTCGTGCGCGGTGGACGCCATTTATTACGGGGTTCGTGAGGGAAAGGTGCCGGTTGGGGAAACGACTGGTTACAATTTTGGGGTGATACCCGGATTGCCGGCGTTGGAGCGGCGGGACTTGCCGACTTTGCTGCACGACCGTGGGCCGGATCCTGACCCTTTTGGGCTCATTTTGGGCCAGTTCTCTAACGCGGAACAGGCCGATTGGGTTCTCTGCAACTCTGTTCGGGAAGTGGAACAAGAGGTAATTTCTAAATTTCAAGGTAAAAGAAGGAAACTCTGTCTAGCACGCCTAAACGGCATTTTGACGGTGCTTAGGCTTTTTAAGTTAAAATAATAATTTTATAATATTTTCTGAATGCTTTAGTTCAATTGTAAATAATTAATAACTTAACTAACACTCAACAAAAAGCAAAATATGTTACGGTTTTGTAGATGTACAATAATGTGTAGGGCAAAGGGTTGGGTGACTAGAACTGGGAAAGAATTCAAGAAGTCATTTCAGTAGCTACAACTTTCTTTAATCTTTAATCTATCAACGTGTTCAAGAATGCCTCAATTCAATTAATCACACTTCACGTCAATTAATTGTGCCTATGAACACCTAATTATATGTCTAAAGCTCAAACAAAGCGTTTTATCGCTACCTAACACCTAAACATACATGGAATGACGCCTTCTTACACCTTGCTAACTTCTAAGACGCTCGGTTTATCTTACAAAATGCATCCGCCGTGTTAACATAATGGATTTGATTTCAATTACGACCTTTGTCCAGGAATTAAGCTGGCTCTCAAATTTTCTGCCATTCATGACCGTCGGACCGACCATACCATTACCGTACTTAAACAACCAGCACGACGACGAGGACGACACAGACTTACACGGACTGAGCATCTTCAAGCCCTTCAACGAATCCACCTGCGCAAATTGGCTTCAAACCAAGCCGAAACGTTCCGTCGTCTACGTCTCCTTCGGCAGCATAGCGGGCCTGGCCGCAGACCAAATGGAGGAGCTCTTTTGGGGGCTGAGAAATAGCAACCACTACTTCCTCTGGGTGGTGAGGCAATCCGAAGAGTCCAAGCTCCCTAAGGAATCCCAACTCTCCGCGGCCGCGGCGGCAGAGAGAGGGCTCATAGTGCGGTGGTGCTCGCAGCTGGAGGTTCTGGCTAGCGAGGCCGTGGGGTGTTTCGTGACGCACTGCGGGTGGAATTCGACGCTGGAGGGGCTGAGCTTGGGTGTCCCCATGGTGGCGGTGCCGCAGTGGTCGGACCAGCCGACCAATGCCAAGTACGTGAAGGACGTGTGGAGAGTTGGCGTGAGAGTGGTCGAAGGTGGTGGTGGTGAGAGCGGGGCGGTGGTCGGAAGGGAGGAGATAGAGAGGTGTTTGAGGGAAGTGATGGAAGGGGAGAGTGGGGAAGAGATTAGGAGGAATAGTGAGAAGTGGAAGAATGTGATCAGGGAAGCGGCGGGGTGAAGGTGGAAGCTCTGGTTCCAACATTGGGGATTTTGCTGCTAGTTTGATAAGCAAATCACGTTTGCTTGGGTTAGGGTTGTAACAGTATGTGACCATCTAATGTTTGTGGTATGCTCTGTGTTTCGACCGTGTTGTAATAGTTGTTGTTGGAGAATCAAGGTAAGTAAAGAATGCAGACATGAAAGAGCAGAGCAGCAAAAAAATAAATAAAAATTAATGGATTCCGTTGCCGGGACTTGAACCCGGGTCTTTCGGGTGAGAGCCGAATATCCTGACCAACTAGACTACAACGGATTTTGATGACCTTTAACTCAGTTATAGTTTAATATAGATTTAAGAATCACTTCGACTTTGTTGCAATTTGCAAACCTCTTGGTGCTTTCGTCCCTGCTTCCTAAACTGGATCCTTATCGCCACAGAAAAAGACTGCAAAAATGAAAAATAACTTCACTGTATGAATAATCAAACCAAAGAACGATCCATCGGGGAATGAACTTTTTAGCTTGAGGGAGAAAGGGCTGATTGTATCTGAGGTTTTCACAACCGGAGGCTCTGGCGAGCGGGTTAGTGGGTTGCTTTGTGACTAATTGTAGGTAGCAAATATGCTACTTCACTCCATGCCCGAGGAGGAAAAGCAGATTCCTGGTCACAAACAATACAAGTGAAAATGCTCTCTTTGAGCCTTCCAGAGAGAATGAATGTGAAATGGATGTTATACCAACCACAGCCCTAAAAAGGAAAAAGAAACAGATGAATGAATTTGAGATTCAGTTTTCAACCTAAGAAGTCACAGCTACTAATAAATAGATAGATTCTCATTCATGCCTTCATAACTCACATTTCCAGACTGACTTTTATTCATACAGAGTTTACAAATACAACATCCGTTTTTCAGTTATAAATAGAGGCCACAACAATGCAAATTTCATTTCGAGACAAGTTTCTCTACACCCCTGGATAGAGATAATGCAAACCAGCAGAGGGAGAATTAATCAGCAACACAAAAACCAGGCAGCAAAAAGAAACAAGTAAAAAGGGGAAACAGCAGACTGTGTGCCCCTTAAATTCAAGCGCTACAGAGGCTTTTACAGAAACAGATCATCAAGCAGCAGTGGTCTTCTGGTTCGGCTTGAAGACGTACTTGATAAGGGACTCCTTAATCGACAACAATTCCGGGAATTCCTTCTTCAACTTCGCACCGTCCATCTCGTTGTTGCTCCTGGGGCGCGACAATCACCTTGGCCTGCTCCTCGAGGTTGAAGTTCTTCCACGTGAAGTTGGGGTTGATGTAGTCTCGGTACATTTCTAAGATCTCATTGTGGCTCACCACTCCGGGGTTGGTGAAGTTCCATATGCCGGTGAGGTTTCTCTTAGCCATCTCAATGGAGATGGGGAGAAGTTCGTCCAAGATGGTCATTGAATTTGGAATGTTCACCACCTTCTCGTACCTAGCAATCTTCGTGATGAAGTTCCGGGGGTTGTTTAGATCAGATGAGATCGGCATTCTAACTCGCAATGTGCAGACGTTCTCGTAGTTCTTGAGAAGATCTTCCACCTGTTAGAACACACCAATAGAGCCAACGAATCAAAATGGGAAAGATCTTGAAAACACATCAAGATACACAGTAAAATGGGAATAATTGGAAACATAATCTTTCTATATCTGGGTTACTGGATGAGCTTTGATCAAAGAGTTACTCAATCTAACATAAAATTGATGGTTCAGGCATGAGAGCGAGAAATAGCTAATTCTTGAATTGAAAGCAAAATGATTAGCTAATCCATAACAGCTAAATGCTATCACAAGAAATATGCATTGAATTGAACCAGTAGCGACAGAGGCACTGAAACCTCAAAATCGAGACTATCGGCAGCAATGTCTAATAGATCCACAACGAGAAACCTTTAGATCCAACCTCCACATGGAATCAAAACCCACATCTCCGTTAACCCATTCAATCCATCATAATCCCAAATACCAAATCGCCATTCTCGAACTTAACTGGAAACAGAGCATACTCATTCAAGAGGCGGAGAATTTACCATAGCTTTGGTCTTAGAGTAGTAAGATCCGGTGAAATTAGGAGTGTCCTCTTCCTTGAACCCAATACCCGACCCAAGAGGGTGCTTGTCGTCGTACTCGAAGATACAGCCGGTGGCGTAATTAATCATGACAAGTCCCTTGTCCCGGCAGACATCGGCAAGCGTCAGAGTGCCGACCACATTGGTCCTGATGGTCTCGACCTTGTGGGATTCGCACCAGTCGACGTTGGGGCGGCCGGTGACGCCGGCGGCATTGAAGACGTGGGTGGGGCTTGATGGTGGCGATGTCGTTCTCGAGGGAGGTGCGGTTCTCGAGCCTGCCGGAGCCGTAGGTGTAATCGATGCCCTGAGACTCGCAGATTTTGCCCAGGGAGGCCGCCGATCCAGCCGGTGCGGCCGTAGATGAGGAACTTGAGTGGGCCGCTGCCGTTGCCGTTGGCCGAGTGACCCATTTCTGGGAACTGGATCTGGTGGTCGGAGATGGTCCGGGGAGCCGACTGGAGGAAGAAGAGGCAGAGGAGAGCTTTTTTTTTGTTTTGGTTGATTGGTTGTGTGTTTTTTCGGGAGTCTGATTCTGATATATAGACTATAGAGGAGCAGTAGTGTTTAGAGGATCGATTTGGACAGGGAAGGGAGGGGGAAATGGTAACTGGGGATCGGTAGTGTTTTTCATCAAAAATTTTTTACCTCTTTTCAAGGTTGTCAACCCGTGGGTTGATCCGAACCCGGTCGAGCTAGTGGATCAGGGTTAATGGGTCAACCGTTTTAGTCCGGTTTGGCCCGGAAATATAGAAAGAGTCATTATATTGTACTTATTCTCATAAATTATATCAAATCTTATATAACAAATGGGTTATAACATATAATATTACACCAAAATAACATATCGTACTTAGATCCAACATATAGTGAAAATTCACACACTTATGTAACATAAATATTCAAATGTTCAACTTAGTATTCTAAAGATTGAGTTAGGTGAAAAGAAAAATTGGAAAACAGACGCATTTCGCAAACTAAAAAAAAATGACACAATTTGACCTCCAACCCGGTACCTAATAGCGATCGGCCCGGCGGGTGCGTGCGGCCCGTTTTTCTTACCGGGTCAGGGTCAAATTGAGTCGACCCGTGAGTCAACCCGCGGGTTGACAACCTTGGCTCTTTTCCTCTGTTTAAAAAAACTTACCTCCTTTTTCCAAAGGTTAATTATTCGTGTGGCTAATAATCTTTTCGTAAAAGTTAAAATTGATGGGGTAATTGGATCCACCGCTTAAGAACCTGAACAATTTGTGTCTTTTTCATATACAATAAAAAAATTAGTGTATTAATTAGTCTATATGATGTAATTTTTTATGTCAAAATAAACTAGTCGATTTCGAACTTTGATGATTTTTTTATGGATTTAATTTTTATTAATATTATAAATTATTTCAATGGTGATTGATGAGTAAAGAGATTGCTCAACATTTAAATTTGTCTCTTGATCAAGAAGTAATGGTCGGATTGGGTTCAGTCAATGTTATGCATATATCTTAGAAGGATTGATTTTTCCCCCTTTTCTTCAGTGAAGCCTCTTGGAAACTTTTATCTCGTGAGAGGAGAGAGGTTTCAAATTGTAGAACTCAATTCTGAAAGACCTTGTTCTTTCATCGACTCCAAGTACATACGACCTCTTCACTCTATACTGGGAGGATTGGTCTTGTTTGGAGTCGACACTTTGAATAATTTCATAGGTAATTGAGTCGATTACCATCAACCATCAACCTACTTCTTCATACTTCTAGAAAAATCGTGTGGCTTGTTGACAATCAAGAGACTCTCACCCACTTAAATTAGTCACTAGTCGGACATTAGAGAACAAATACCTTTATTATCGGGAGACGACATGAGCCAAAAATTAAAAAGTATATAAGTGAGAAATGTCAATTAACGAACGGGCGGGACTTGAGATGTGCCTATTTGGATGAAGAACGTTCCTTTGAAGTTCCGGTGAACTTTTGTAAGATAGTAGAGGTTATTAACAAAAGGTGATCTATTCAGGCCTATATAACAATTTACACATCGAGGAAAATAATTCAATAGATAGCCATTAACATTAAGCTCCAACGAATAAGTCTCACGAGAAGCTTCTTGCAAATTTTTGCCAGTTTGCCCAATATTCGGAGATTAATTAAGCTGTCCAAACAAAGAAAAATATCAACTTTCGAATCAAATTCCAAATGGAACCAACGCTTTTTCATATTTCGTTGTGGAGTTCTTTTCCCTTTTGTTGTCGTTTTTGAAAATCGCCTTCAATCTCGAATGGCAGAAACGATGGAGAATGTGTAGGCTGTGCCTTTCTTGGTGCTGTCTAAATAAAATTCCCAGATCTGGATCGCCGCCATCGCACTTAATAATTAATTAATACCCTCCCATACCTCCAAGGATTTCAATTATCACCAACCTGAGTATGTTTGCTTTTGTTTTTTATTTTCCTATGTCGCTTGCATATTGAATTTCATCAAATGCCAGTTTGCATATTTGCAAGTGTCTGTTATATTGGTGTAATTTCTTTTGCAATTCCATATTGAGTAATATGTAATACTTGCAATTGACCAAATATCGTTGATGTGGATGTTCTTAGGTTTCAACGACCTCATAATTGTTAATTAAAGGTTTATTGGAGTTTTTGTCCTCTTAGTTTGGAAACTATAGTTGCATGGGCAGCTGTAAGTTTGACCCTAACTATCCACTGACCCCACTCGGTCCGGCACGATCTTGGGTGTTTATGGGATAGATAATTGAGAAGATTGAACAGAGGAGGAGTTGCTTAATTAGTAAGGTGCTTTCTTAGAGGGCATGTTCAAGAACTATTCGTAAATGAGAGCATTTATTTGTGAAATTTCATAGAGGAGTGGGAGGAGTATACAACCGAATGATGAAAATAATGAATGTGAAATTGTTAAGGATTATTTGAAAATAGTTCACAAGAAAGATGATAGAAGATAGGGTTAGAGAAGCTCTTATTTCGCAGTTTTAGAGGTACTTGAAAGCGGACAGTGAGAATGGTGATGATAAGAGCTTTGATACTTTAGCATGAAGCAAGAAGCACTCTAGTGAATATCCAATATTGGGTTTGATGGCTACAAATGTGTTAGCAATTTCTATCTTCAATGTTGCATTGGATCTGAGTATGCTTTTAGTATTGAGGGACGTGTTTTAGATGCATTTCAGAGTTCATTGACTCCTTTGGTTGTTGACAGTTTTATTTG